GCTATGGCTCTTAATCTCTCTGAGTTTCAGTTTCTTCGTCTGTAAAATGGGTAATAACTACCTTCCTCATTGCCGAGAGAATTAAATGACATAATCTAATCTATATAAAGAGTGGAGCATAGTGCCTGGCACTCACTCACTCACTCACTGTTAGATGTAGTCACTGTAATGAGGTTTTCTGTGATGTAACAGTGCCACAAGAGAAAATTCCTTGCAATTTTTATAGGGTAATTTTATGGGTGGTATTTCTGTTAACTTTTAAAACCATTTACACCCACTATTTTATGTGATATTTTCATCATAAAATAGTAGGTTCTCTACATAGTTATGTAGACTTGAATTGGCTAGCTTCCTTGTGTTCCACTACTTATAATTTCATAGTGACAAGGTTGGTTCAATGTGGAACAAAATATCTCTTACATGGTTTTCTTTTATTATATGATGTAGGATGCTGTATCACAAAATGAATCCAGGATGTCTCTCTCTAAATCTTTAGGAGTCAAATCAGAGTTAACTACCAGGCACAGAAAGAGTCATGAAAATAAAAGAGAGAAACGGTATTCTCCAGGGGATAATTCTAAAATAAACTTTCGTAAATGACAAAGTATCTTGTGTAGGATTTTACTACCTATAACTGGCTTTTTCTAGATTTTACTTAGAAAATATTATAAACATAAAGCCTGACCACATTGTGTCCTAAACACTGAAGGCAAACCATATTGTGGGGATTTCATTTTAACCATAGAGAAATTGTAACAAGTCCAAAACCACAGAACCCAAGTAAGTAGTAGATCCGGGAATAGAACTGAGAAGGCTCTGATTCCTCCTCACATATGGAGACCACAAGGTTCTGCTGCTTCTGAACATAATGACAGATCATCTAATGCTGTTCGACCATCCGTACATGACACATCAGGGGCAGACTGTATGAGGACACTGTCTAAAAGTATGCAGCCTTTCCCTTCTAAAGGTCTGTGTAGAGACCAGAGAAGTGGGGAAGGAGCCTTTATAAGCACCAGATATTTGTGTTTGGGATAATCTGTTGCTACCACAAAGCTGACTTCTTTGCTAAGGTTGTAAAAGAAAAGCAGTAGTTTATAACCATAGAAATGCTTTTGCCCATTCTGAAAAACATTTTAGTAATTTTTAATAAAGCCAACTAAAGAGTTTCTAGAATGGCATCATATATATAAGGAGCATAAAAATTTTGTGTTCCTTTCAAGATTTGACCCTGCTCCCACATTTTACTTTAAAATTTTTACTCCTTTTGCCTTTAGTTGATTTCCAAAGCCCTGAAATGATGATTTCGAAGGATTTGTTCTTCTTTATTGTAGCTATTTGAGGAAACATTTTCCCAGACTCCTCACTCTGTCATGCTTTATTTCTCTTTACTCTTTTATATGGGTAAAAATTTCTTATTATATTTTACTGTTTTATTATATCATAGACTTTTTTGTGGGATTATTTTCTTTATTCCTGAAATTATTGAAATATAGTTGGTGCATGATTCAACCTTCTGAAGAATGGCTTTGATAGATCTACTATTCTAGGATGACAGTTATTTTCTCTTATGCCCTTGAAGATACCCACTGTCTATGGCTTCTATTGTTGCTGTTAAGTAAAAAATATTTCAGATTATAGGGCACTCGTGCCTCTCTTTACACACCAAGAACTTATATTTACCACTTAATCCTGATAACAGACTTATGATGATATTTTATTATTCTCATTCTCATTTATTCTAGTAGAGCTAGGGAGGCACAGAGCAGTTAAGAATACAGAATGAGTATGGAGAACAGGATTCTCCAAGAGCTTGGGCCTTAAAGCATCTGTTTTTAAACCACAGCCACAGCCAAGTGGATACCTAAAGAGAAATGAGAAACAACGTTATTAAATATTTAAAGATGTTTAGGGGCACCTGGGTGGCTCAGTCGGTTAAGTGCTGACTTTGGCTCAGGTCATGATCTCATGGTTCATGGGTTCGAGCCCTGCATCGGGCTCTGTGCTGACAGCTCAGAGCCTGGAGCCTCCTTCGGATTCTGTGTCTCCCTCTCTCTCTCTCTCTCTCTGCCCCTCTCTTGCTTGTGCTCTGTTTTTCTCTCTCAAAAATAAACATTAAAAATTTTTTAAAAATGAAGATACTTAAAAACTATAGTAATTAAAACAGAGTCATTTTTTTCTGGATAAAGAGATGAATACACTAATCGTTGCTATTGGACTGTTATTACCAGGCAGTATCAACAAGCTGTGCCTGTTTTTCTCGCGTGTAAGTTAAGAATAATAATACTGCCAGCCTCATAGAATGGTTGTAAAGAATAACCAAGTATATACAGAAATAAGCAAGTATATACAGATACATACATATGACTTTAAAGTGAAAAAATATTTGTCATCATTAGCAATAGTAGAGTAAAAGAGGAAAAGCACAGAAACCAACCTTCCCATATATCAGAATATAGCATCTGATTACAGGTGATGAGAGGAAATGATGGACTATTAAATAAATAGTGCTGGCAGAGTTGGGTGGATTATATAGAAAATAGAAATTTTGAATATCTTTTTTTAAAAAAAACTATATCCAAATGGTAAAATAAATAATACTAGATATATAGATTACTTCCTAAATCAATGATATCACTAAAGGAGATTTTTGATTAATATTTAAATGTGGAGAAGACTATAGTAAGCATACTGTCAAGGGCAGAAGCTGTAAAGAAAAAGAGAGAAAGATCTCACTGCATAAAAATTAAAACTTCCTTTTGTGAGAACAAACAGGAGGCTTGTAAATTAAAAATTCCTTTTGTGAGAACAAACAGGAGCCTTGTAAATGATTAATGGCACAGTATACTAGAGTAGGGAAACCATGTGCAACATATATAACAAGTTAATGTTCTTAACATTATGTAAAGAGCTCTTATAACATAATAAAGGGACATAAGAATAGAGCCAAAGAACATATAATCTGACAGAAAGAATTACAAATGACCAAATGACATAAAAAAATATCTTGGGCTTCCCTAGGAATCAAAAATAAATAAATAGATAAGCAAACAAACAAATAAAATTCAGAAACCAGTTTCTCCTATGAACTTAATGGTCATTGAAAAAGATTCTCCACCAAGGACAAATATAATAACAGATGAATGACAACAGTGTGAGAAAAATAACTGAAATACAAAGTATTTGGTTGTATTAGAAAAGACTTCTTCTGTAAAGTTTGAGATGGCCTTTGAATTATTGGCATAATATTGACAAGAAGTGAGAAATGAGGGAAAGTTTATTACCCTGTCTTCTGAAAAGTTTGGCATTATGGGGGAAGAAAGATAAATAACCGTAGCTTTGATTTTTGTCATGACCAAGAGATGTGGTATTAAAATCAGGAATTAGATGAGAAGATCTATAAGTTACCTTCTTCCAACACATACTTGTTGTGCACTTATAGGTACTGTGGGAAAATAATGAGTTTAATTGTGGACTTTCCAGTTTGAGTCCATTCAAGTAAAATTATCTAGCTGGTTATGGGATATGCAGATCTGAAGTTGACAGCAATAGACTAGGGATGCACATTTGGGAGTCAGTATATATGGTTGGTAATGAAACTCATGAGCAGGATTGAGATTAATTAGAATACACACGCCTAGTAACTAAGGACAGAGTAGTAGAAAATACCAGTGTTTAGGTGCTAAGGATGCCACAAAGTAGAAGGAAGAAATAACCACAAGTTTAGGAGAAGACATAAAAAAGTATGAATTTCCAGAAGCATAGAGAATAGAATTTCAAGAAAAAAGAGAAGCAGCATTAGTGGCAGTGCAACAAAGAGGTCTGGTAAATTAAAGATTGATAATAATGTTCATTGCATTTTTTTTTAGTCAGAAAATATTTTAACTTTAGAACAGCAATTTTACTAGAATAATGAAGGCAGATAGGAAACTCTAGGGGATTGAGAAATAAGAGATGATATGTAAACTACTATTTGAAGCACATTAAATGGAAAGGATAGGAAAAACTAGGGATCAAGAGAGAACTTTTTCCCTTTAATGAGAGATTCAGATTCAATCAGGTGAGAAGAAGTAGCTTCTCTAGAAGTTGTAGATACAAGGGAGGGAACTAAGTGAGAAGAAGGGGGTGAGAGTGTGGCACCTGTGGTGAGGTGCCTTGAAGAGGAAGAGGAACACCTTGTCCATGATGCATGAAGAATACAGCTAAAGATAGAGATCAGGGTCGGGGGTGTGTGTAGAGGAACAGTTGAGGGAGATCATGCATTATACCTTCACTGTGCCAGATCTAGGGAGACAAGTGAAGAAGTCAAGATTTTAAAGGGTTGGGAAACACTGGGAATAGCCACTGGGTGTAATGGAAGTGGAAACTGACCAAGAACAAATAAGAGGAATCGCATGTAGGGTGGCAGTGGGAGTCTAGCTGATGTTGGAGACCATATAACTATCCTGGTAAGGCATGGCTATATGGCTTTCTCTGGCAACTCTTAGAATCTTGGGTTATCAATAATGTTAATTCCTCTTGCCTTGGATAGGTTAGGTAGGTGGATGATCGTATGAATAAAGGGTCGGACAAGTAAGCTATTAATATCAGAAATAAAAATCTGTCCAATATACTTCAAAGCTCAAAACCCTTCAGTGTTTGGCCTTTGTTGTAGAATAAAAATCAGAATCCTAGGCTAGAATTTTAAGGTTTCTAATATAAAATTCTGACCGTAATTTTAGTATACCCTTACATGTATCACCACATTATAGCCAAATAGGGTTTCTTGCTACTTTGTGAAAAATTTTTTCTTTCTCAGTTTGCACCTCATGTTACTTCTGGTATTTACCTTGCTTGTAAAAACCCACATCTTGTTCCTTAAAACTCAGTTCATTTGTGGTGCCTAGGTGGCTCAGTTGGTTAAGCATCTGACTTTGGCTCAGATCATGATGTCATAGTTCAAAGGCTTACTTTTATGTTATTTCATGAACCTCTTCTAAAGTGAATGTTTTGTCCCATAGGTATGGGATGAATTGCCTCATTCAGTTTGAAGATTTTGCCAATATAAATGCATTTCGTCTCCTGAAGAAATATCAAAACCAGTATTGCACGTTCAATGATGATATTCAAGGTAAGCTGGATAGGGAAGAGAGTGAAGATACAAGAATGGATAGGGCAAAAGGGCCCAGGTATTTCCATGAGGTTAAACAATGTGTGTGATAGGGAGTACCTGGGTGACTCATCAGTTAAGCCTCCGACTCTAGATTTTGACGTAGGTTATGATCTTACGGTTCATGAGTTCTAGCTCCATGTTGAGCCCCTCATCGGGTTCTGCACTGACAGAGCTTGGCTTAAGTAAGCATCTGCACTGACAGTGCAGAGCCTGCCTGGGATTCTGTCTCCCTCTCTTTCAAAAATAAATAAACTTAAAAAAATAAATTGAATGTTTCAAATTAAAAAATGGGCGTAATGGGGAAAATTGAAGAAACTGGAAAGGTAGGAGGTTGTAGACCATGAGTGAGGTATTCTAATGTAGTATTTGAAAGAAGCATTAGATATGAGTGATGGTAAGGACCAACGGGGAACTTAGGAGAAAGACAACTAATGTGAAATAAGATGTTGAATGCTATTGGAATTGAGGTGCTCATAGGAGAGTTTACGTGTAGGATGATAATGTTTGTCTATTCATAGAGTTTATATTGAGGACAAATAATTATGTGTGAAAATACCCCCTGAACTGAAATGTACTTTACAACTACAATTTTTAAAATTCACTGTGCTTAAATTCTGCAGTGAGACATAGCTATACGAATATACTGTGTTTAAAAATAATGAGTCTCTATACCTTTTGAGGCACACTATGGTAATTGGTTGAGTCTTTCTTTTCTCCAAATCCTTTGTGATGTTAATCACAAGGTGGTTACTATAGTATCATTTTCATTATAAAGATGCTATTATTTCAACTTTATTTTCTTCCTTTTATTAAATTTCTTTTTGAGTATTTATTCATGAAAATGAATATTTGGAGAAATCCAAAAAGTAAGAGTCTAATTTTACAGGGCTGTAGCTCTGTTATAGCTGTAACTTGAAGATACATGTGTAGTGACAGTGTGCTTTCGATGCTGCAAACATAGAATTTGTAGACAGTGACTGGGTACTTACCAGTTAGTTTTGCAGTGGTCTCGAAAATAGTCACACTGGGGGGGCGCCTTCTGACTCAGTTGGTAGAGCATAGACTCTTGATATTGGGGTTGTGAGTTCCACCCCTACACTGGGTGTAGAGATTACTTAAAAATAAAATAAAGAATAAAATAGCCACATTCACTGCTGAAAAAACTATCCTTTCTTAAATATTCCTATCTTTTGATTTTATGGGTCCCAAAGAAATGTCCATCTAGAATTTAAAGACCGATATTACATACTTTTGAATCAATACACAGAATTCATAGACATCAGAGTTCAGTTTAAGACAAAGAATGATAAATCCACATTATTAAACAAAATGAACAGTTTGGAATTGGGGTTAGAGATCCCTATCAACTTAGTCAGAATTTAGAGGTCAAGTTCTGGGCTGCATCAGAGTTAAAGTCAGAAGCACAGGATATCTGAGGCAGATGCTTACTTAAGCCAAGGCCAAAAGCACTGTATGTGGAGTTGCTCTGGAGTGCCCACAACAGAGTATTCCCCACTCCACCCAGCGGGTCACCACCATAGAGGCATGAAATAACTAACTTTTCACCCCAGCAAATCTGTCTTAAAATATAATCTGCATTTTTACCTATTTACACATAGGAATTTTAGAGTATAACTGCCTTAGCCAACAAAAAGACAGATATGAGAAAAATGGTCCCAGTCTTTGACTAGAGAAAACGTTTGGCAAGTTATTGGGGTTCTGATTAGAAATGACGAAACTATTTTGTGCATTTCTCCATACCAAAGTAATGTCCTTAGTGACACATTATCCCCATATGTTTCTGTTTTACCTTTTTAACCTTATGTTTTTACCATTTTGCCCAAAATGTAATACTTTCCCCACTGTGGGCATAGAAATTGCATTCCAGGTGCCAAGGAAAATAATTATGTAGCTATTACAGCCTTACCATGTAAATAAATGTTTCACACTGGACACTTAGGAGAACTTATTTTTTCCTTTTTTTAACAGATGTGTTAAATATATTTTATGAAAAATATTTGATTTTAAAAATCTTATAATTGATATAAATGATCTAGAATAATTTTATATGATAGAGATTTTAGTTTTGGATAGAGATTTGGACCTTAATGCATTGTAATTATAAATTATTTTTTACTGGAAAAAAATGTGCAGGTTAAATCTATCAAGAAATTGGACATTTAAGTGTATAATCTGTAGACCATCAGAATTCAGCAAATTCAGATCAAAACAATAAGGTCTCATCCTGTGGTCATTTAAAATCAATGACAAAAAGAGATTTTTCTTCTTATAATGGCCTCTCTGGAATGGCTGTTCTCTCACATGACATTGTAAATATTTTACATAGAATTTGTAGCCATAATAAACTAGTTTGTTAATATTTAAAAAAAAAAACAAGGTAAATATAGCCTATTCGTATACTGAATGCTTTGATGATTAAAAAGATCAAAATCAGACATGATAGAACAGACTTTTAACAAAAGAAGGAAGACCACTGGCCAGAAAACATGCTTCAAAGTTTAACACCATTAAGTTTTAAAAAGCAAATGAGAAACATATTTTCTCTGTCAAGCTGGCAAAGATTTTTTATTGTAATCCCAACCATTAAAGATGCTGTAAGAAGATGAGCGCTCATATATTGGTGGTGGAAATATAAACTGGTGCAACTCTTGGCAAGGCAGTCTGTGTCAAAAACCTTAAAAGCCTATGGCTCTTTGAGCCAACAATTCCATTTGTAGAAATTTATCATGAGCAGGTAAAGGTTTGTAAAGCAAATGTACAAAGATATTTATTTATTTTAAATACGTGTTTATTTTTTTTTAACGGAGATATAATTGACATATAACACTATTAGTTTTGAGTGCAACATAATGATTTGATACATGTGTATGTTGCAAAATGACTGCTACAGTAAGTGAACATCCATCACCATGTATGGTTATTGTTTCTTTTCTTGTGACAAGAACTTTTGAAATTTACTCCTAGTGGGGCGGCTTAGTCGGTTAAACTTCTGACTTCAGCTCAAGTCATGATCTCGCCGTCTGGTCCATGAGTCGGAGTCCCGCGTTGGGCTCTGTGCTGAAAGCTTAGACCCTGGAGCCTACTTCGGATTCTGTCTCCCTCTCTCTCTGCTCCTCCCCTTGCTTGCGCTCTGTCTCTATCTCTCAAAACTGAATAAACATTAAAAAATAAATAAATAAAATTTACTCTTAGCAACTTCCAAATATACAATATAGTATGTTACCATGCTGTACATGACATCTGCAGGAATTATTTGTTTGTTTATTTCTTTATTTTAAATGTTTATTCATTTTGAGAAAGAGAGAGACAGCACAAGCAGGGGAGCGGCAGAGAGAGAGAGAGGGTGACAGAATATTTGAAGCAGGCTTTAGGCCGATAGTGGAGAGCCAGATGCGGGGCTTGAATTCACAGACCTTGAGATCATATGAGCCAAAGTTAGAGGCTTAGCTGACTGAACCACCCAGGCTCTCGAGGACTTATTTATTTTATAACTGGAAATTTGTACTGTTTGATGACCTTCATGCCTTTTGCCCACGCCCCACCTCCAAACTCTGGGAGCCACCAATGTGTTCTCTATGAATTTGGCTTTTTGTTTTTGGTTTTGTTTTGGATTCCACCTATAAGTGACATCATATAGTATTTGTCTTTCTCCATCCGACTTATCTCACTTAGCCTAACACCCTCAAGGTCCATTTCTGTTGTCGCAAATATTAGGATTTCATTCTTTTCTTATGGCTGGATAATATTCCATTGTGTGTGTGTGTATCGCATTTTTTAAATTCATCCATCGACAGGCATTTGGATTTTTTCCATGTCTTGGCAGTTGTAAATAATACTGCAGTGAACATGGGGTTGCAGATGTCTTTTTAAGATAGTGATTTGATTTCCTTTAGATGAATATCCAGAAGACAAATTGCTGGATCATATGGTAGTTTTATTTTTAATTTTTTGAAGAATCTCCATACTTTTTTCATAGTGGCCGCACCAATTTACTTTCCACTAGCAGTGCACCAGAGTTCCCTTCTCTCCACATCCTTGCCAACATTTGTTACTTCCTGTGTCAGGTGATAGCCCTTCTAACAGGTGCAAAGTGATATGTCTTGTGGTTTAGCAATTCTGTGATGATTAGTGATGTTGAGTACATTTTCCTGTACCTGTTGGCCATTTGTATATCTTCTTTGGTAGAATGTCTGTTTAGATAAGGATATTTATTATTATTAACAGTATTGTTAACATGATTTATTTGTTGTTAATGTTGTAATGTTGTTTTTTCAGTTAATTATACTCTGATCATAAATGATCCTTTTTAAAAGCATGCATATTCTTGTGAATCAAAACAAATATTTTAAAAGAATGATAAATAAAATAAAATTGACATGAGAGTTTTAAACTATAATCGTAAAAAACAAAGACATTTAGAAGATACTTGTCTCATTTTAGAAAATGTAGGCCTTAAAGATCAAAGGTAACTTTTCAAACTCATTGCCAGAATTAAAATTTTACATCATAGGAATGTTAACAAATATTGACCAACAGATTAAAACACTAAAGTTGAACAATAAATAAAAATGTCTCTAATTATTATTTTTTCCCAAAAAAATCATGAAGTGATGAAATAACAATAGAAAGTTAACATTAATTTCAGAAGAAAAGGCACATCCAGACAAAATAGTCAAAGTGATTTGTAAAATGCAGCGTTATATTTGTACTGTTCTTGATCAGTTGAATGCAGGAAATTATTCTGGAAGATCCTAAACTATGGCAGTAATAGTTATAAAGCCAGGCCAGTAAGAAGACTCCCTCACATTAAATGGAGTATTTTGTTCCTGATGTAGCTGGCTCACAGACACGCACCCTAAATGTGCACTCACACAAGTGCCCCAAGTTTCTGGATTCTCTTACACAGGTTTCACTTTGTGAAGTCGTATGTCTTCTCG